AAATGTAAATCAAAACAACAAAGAAATATAATCTTACCCAGGTATTATTTGAAAAGTTTAAAGAAAGAGAAAACAACAAATGGTGCGGAGAGACTGGAACTCTCCTAGACTATTGTTGGAACTGTAAATTGATGCAACCATTGTGGAAAATGATATGACACTTCCTCTAAAAATCAGAAATAGGAATACCACATGACCCAGCACTTCCTCTATTTGGTATCTATCCTAGAGAAGTAAGATTCATGACTACAACAAATATATGTACACTAATGTTCATTACTGCACTAACAATAACAAAAAGATGGAAACCATCTAAATGTCCATCAAGGAATAAACAAACTTTGGTGCATGTATAGTATTGAAGAATAATGATAAATCTACAAAACACTTCATAGTGTATATGATCATGGATGACATTATGCTGAGTAAAATTAATCACAAAAGGACAAATATTGTATGAGAACACTATTGTAAAAAGTTAATAAAAGGTTTTCACGCCAAAATAAGCATCCTTTGATGGTTCATCCTTTGATGAACAACCAGGAGAAGGGGTAATAATTCACTGGGTAAAGGTGAAAGCACTATATAATAAGAGGGAGGCTAACAATAAAATGATGGAGGCAGGGGAGCGTGGGGAGGAATGTAAGAGTTAAAGGCAACAGAAGTAAGCATTATTATATACACAGTCATGAAATAACAGTGGGTTGACACATGGATAGACACTCAGGCTGAACATGTGTGGGAGGAAAAGTGAAAGTATATCCATAAACATATATAGGTTTGACAAAAGGTCATATTCATCACACATGGTGGAGCATACAGGAAGCAAAGTTATGAAACATAACCAAGCACCTTGAGGAAATGAATTACTGGTCATGGAGGAAATGAATTACTGGTCATAACCTCAGTCTCTAGGGACAGCATGGTCAATTGGCATAGCATAGTTCACAAAGACAATGTTCTTTACATTATCTTACATTAGCATAATCTTACATTAGCAGCAAGTGGAGTTGTAAAAGGTAGTGAGAAGCCATCTAAGGTGCAACTAGGGAAGAAGAGTCATGAGACTTGAAGACACATGGAAACAACTACTCCACAGGACTAATGGACCAGGGAAGAGCAGTCTCCATAATCCT